TAATCAAAAAAATGTCAGATATTTCCAATGTATATCAGATTACTCACCACTACTTGTGCTCCTTCCTGGGCCAGGTAGGCGACTGTGGCAGATGTGAAGTTAAAATAGCCAGCTTTCAGTGGTCTCAGTACCACGGTGTGGGATACGTTGCTTGCACTGCATAAATGCTGGTTAAGGACCCAATAGCCAGAATTATACTTTCAAATGCCAAGCTACAGCATTCAGATACTAAGAGCACTATGTGCACTTCAGGTACAGTTACAACATAAAGGGACACTTCACACTAGTTTTCCCATCAAAGTAATATACCGATCCATGCTGGTTTCTTCATACTGACTGGAAGTGTGTGACTTTTCACCTAGACCATCACATATTAAAATACTACACTAGCGCTATTTCATTTGTGTACTTATCTCCACATATCACTGATAAGATGCCTCATCAATCTATGGTCAAGATCACACCTCTCCACGCGGCCTGCTCTGAATGTGTACATTTCTACCATTTCCTAAGCGAGGAATGGATCACTACATGCTGTTGGCCTTAAGTTAGTTGATAGTTCTTTATTTCGGAGTGCATTTCGGTTTCTCTTTATACAAATACGACACATATTGAAATTACTACACCATCAGAGATATATTTTGTGTTTGTTTTCGTTACCTATTCCATAGGTTGACTTATTGAGGAAAACTGCCATTACTAAAATGACCATCTTGTAAGAAGTTACTTCCCATAAGGACCTACTTTAGACTAGTTAAAAGAACAAGGCACAACAACAATTTGGACCTTTTGTTTATGGGGTGTAGGTGTATTGTTTGACTAGTACACATTTATTACTGTTAAGCGCAACCTAGTATAGTGCACACACACACATCACAACTTTTCCATATTTGTCTATTTAAAGTTCTCTTACAGTGCTACATAATGCTTTTACATAAAGTCACTGAAAATGCCTGTCATTCCAAGAGACAAACACACACACACAAAAAAAAAAGTTAAAAAAAAAGATACGGTGCAATTCTGTCCCATTTAACATTCAGCATACCGGACACTATTCCAAAGTCTTCAGGAGGGAAGGAATCATCTGACAGCTCCACTTCTAAGGCAGCACTGCAAACAGAAAGAAGGGGGTGTTAGGCTGAGAGCATTATTTTGCTTATCTTGTCCCATCACTGGCCACCCAACAAACATTCCTCATACGACAGGATCAATGAGAAAGTTGTGTCAGGTGCCAGGGGACCAAATTTGGTATTAAACTGATAGAAAAAATGGTTCAAACCCAGAAGACAAGAAAAGCCTGTACCACTCCTGCCCTCTGTTATTCCTATGAGCTCATGTTGTTCCTTTAATGGCATGCAGTGTCCAGTGTATAAAAGAGGAAAAACAAAACAAAAAAAACCCCACAAAACAAACAACACAGGTGATATAGAACAGTTGTAAGAATGTATCGCTGTACGGAGAATATGTAGTGGGATATTACGGTAGCATTAACATTTGAGTCTGAAGATACCAAGCCCTAAGGCTAATGCTTCTAGCACACAGGGTTAATTTATAAATGTGAAAATTGTAACGAATTCAAAGAGAAATTCAAATTTTAGACCAAAAGAGTCAAACTGGAAGCAGAGCGAATTTAACTTGAATCCTCGACAACTAACATTAATTCAATGCTTTCCCACGGAAATGTTTGAATGCACGCTCTGCACTCCCTTGTGCATGCGCATTAGGTCCACACTGCTACGAGGAGTACTGGACTAGCCCATCACAAAAGTGACCCTGTCTACCCGTGACATTGCTGGGAGAGTAAAGGTAAGCAGTCCTGAACGGTAAGTAAACTTTTTGTATTCGCAACGCTAGTGCACCTTCAAATAATCCTGCTAAATTCTACTGTCACTAGAACTTTGACAGCTTTGAATGTGTACTATCTAGCAATCTATAACCTTCTAGAACACGCCTCTTGTCACATCAGCAGAGTTATTCACTACAGTAATAACTGAAAGTGACTTTCAAATTTTGGGCCAAAATAGCCAATTTGCTCCTGATCAAGTACCCTGGCCTTACAAATCACTTTAAATTCTTACTTTAGCAAATAACCCTGCAGTGTCTAAACCAGTGGTAGGCAACCTTCAGCACTCCAGATGTAGTGAACTACATCCCCATAATGCTCTTACACCCATAATGCTGGCATGAGAGGTGTAGTTCAAAACATCTGCAGTGCCGAAGGTTGCTTATGCTTGGTCTAAACTATATTACCCATGATGCAGTCAATATAAAAGCTGGTTGAGCGTAGTGTAGTATTTCAAATACACATCCAGGATGCCAACGTTACCAATCTTTATCCTAGAGCAGGCTTCTCCAAACTGTGCTCCTCCAGATGTTGCTTATCTATGACTCCCATGATTCTCTAGCAATTTACTTCCATCAAAGAATCATGGGTGTTGTAGTTCAGCAACATCTGGGAGGACCAGAGTTTGGTGAACCGTCTCCTAGAGTAAGATCTAAAGGAATCATAACAAGGTCACTACATTATTGCTTCATGTTCGCCACATGATTAGCACATAAAATGTATAAATCTGACAATTTTCTGTGTTAGGATTGCAGTTGTTATGAATAATAAATTGTCCATACCTGGATCCAACATTGTAGATATTATATTGCAGAGTCAAGTCTTTCCCTTCTACAGCATATCTATTGAGAAGAGACTTTGAAGCCAGTAACCTGGCTCCTTCTTCACACTGGACAACTACCAGGAGACCCAAAAACGCAAGAAACAACACCCTCATCTGCAAGAAATCACAAATAAACATGGTCAGAATGTTATTACATGTCTGCTTAAAAGGTTAGCATTCCTCAAATAAGAAGGTGTGTGTTTGGGGGAGGGGGGGTGAAAAAAAAAAAAAAACACTTAATAAAGCATCTAAGAATTCTTGATAGTTTACAGGGTGTCCAACCAAGGATCCAGGCCTCCATAAAAAAAAAATATAAATATATAAATAATTCAATCCCAAAAGCTGCGATTTTAAATAGGGACCCCCTGCTCTGCAGCATCATCATTCCAATGTAACGCTGATGTGTCACTCTTGGACAGGCAATGTTATCAGCTCTTAGGTTTGAATCACCCCCAGGTGGTGTGTGTAAAGCACAAGTGTACCAGTGACTATTGGCTGTTCATCTTGGGGGGGGACCCAAAAAGATGACCTATTTAAAAAAAATTAAATACAATTTAAGATATATACACACACACCCCAACCATTTTTTTGTTTTTACTCATACAGTCACTTAGAGATGAAAGGGTCCTATACCCCACAGAGGAGATACCATGACTGCCTTATAAAGAGATCTCAATATCTCCACATGACAAACTCCTTTATAAAGCAGTATCTGAGTGACATGTTATACATCTAAACTGGAGAACCCCTGGGCTGTCTGTCACAGAATGGAACAATGGCTGACCCCTCCACCCACAGAATACAGAGAGCAGGGACAGGGACTACACATTATAGGATTCCATTAATAGATACATTGTAACAGAGCTCCTGCAGGCCCTGGCTGTATGAGCCCTGGCTGAGGTGTAACACCAATAAGTGTCCCCTATGGCTCTCTGTCCCTATATATCAGTGCCATTCCCCCAGGAGAGACCCCCCCCTCCCCGCTCCATAGCAGAGCCCTGCTCCCCCGCTCTCACCGTGCCGGTATCCAGCTCACTGAATGTCCCAGCTCCAACAGCTACTCTAAACCCGCCAGCAAGGACACGTCAGCCAGAGACTGCGCCGGATATCCGCTCTGCTCGGCGCGGAGCATCACGGGAAATGTAGTCCTTGGGCCACCTGTCCATGTGACAGCTCTGGCTGCTGGCTAATCTTACACAAACCCTGGAATTAACAAATTTATGCAGTGATTTCACTCAGTGCTGACACACCCTACCCCAGCAATGTTACTTAACATGTATTATTACCCTATAACCCCTGGGACTGCCCTAGGAGCAAGGCTACCTATACATTAAATATATGAGATATAGTTTAAGGTACTTGTTAATAGTCAAAGTGCTGGGGGTATGGATAACAATGAGAGAATTGTGATATTAAAAGATTATTGCCAGAAATAATTACCTGGGCGTCAGCTGCAGCAAAATACTAAAGTGACCCCACTCATTCAGGGCAGTGACAAATCTGAGTTTATATAGCGTGCATTGATTAGGGACATCTCCCTGCTGTCCCGCAATATGGGACACCACGGAACAAACCTGTGATAGCAGGACAGGGGCTCGAGATCAGGATGGTCCCACCAAACCAGCAACCTGTGAGGTATGCATTATGTACACGGTAAGAAAAGTCACTAATGTCACATTAAAAAGTATAGGAGAGTAGCGGAACCTTTATTCCTATAATATAGGAGAGTAGCGGAACCTTTATTCCTATAGTATAGGAGAGTAGCGGAACCTTTATTCCTATAGTATAGGAGAGTAGCGGAACCTTTATTCCTATAGTACAGGAGAGTACCGGAACCTTTATTCCTATAGTACAGGAGAGTACCGGAACCTTTATTCCTATAGTACAGGAGAGTACCGGAACCTTTATTCCTATAGTATAGGAGAGTACCGGAACCTTTATTCCTATAGTATAGGAGAGTACCGGAACCTTTATTCCTATAGTATAGGAGAGTACCGGAACCTTTATTCCTATAGTATAGGAGAGTACCGGAACCTTTATTTCTATAGTATAAGAGAGTACCGGAACCTTTATTACTATAGTACAGGAGAGTACCGGAACCTTTAATCCTATAGTACAGGAGAGTACCGGAACCTTTATTCCTATAGTATAGGAGAGTACCGGAACCTTTATTCCTATAGTATAGGAGAGTACCGGAACCTTTATTCCTATAGTATAGGAGAGTACCGGAACCTTTATTCCTATATTATAGGAGAGCAGCGGAACCTTTATTCCTATAGTACAGGAGAGTACCGGAATCCTTTATTCCTATAGTATAGGAGAGTACCGGAACCTTTATTCCTATATTATAGGAGAGCAGCGGAACCTTTATTCCTATAGTACAGGAGAGTACCGGAATCCTTTATTCCTATAGTATAAGAGAGTACTGGAACCTTTATTCATATAGTATAGGAGAGTACTGGAACCTTTATTCCTATAGTATAGGAGAGTACCGGAACCTTTATTCCTATAGTATAGGAGAGTACTGGAACCTTTATTCATATAGTATAGGAGAGTACCGGAACATTTATTCCTATAGTATAGGAGAGTACCGGAACCTTTATTCCTATAGTATAGGAGAGTACCGGAACCTTTATTCCTAGAGTACAGGAGAGTACCGGAACCTTTATTACTATAGTATTGGAGAGTACCGGAACCTTTATTCCTATAATATAGGAGAGTACCAAAGAAGTTCAGGGACACACACAAGCCCACTAAAGACAAGCTCACTGACACACACATGCTCACTAAATAGAAGCTCACTGACACACACAAGCAGTACCATCTTAACAGTGTTAAGGGCCCCGGGCAAAGCAGTGCACTGGGGCCCTTCCTACACAACAACTCACAGGAATAAAAATGTAAATTATTGATAGACTGCTGAGTACATACACACAGTACACTGAATACGAACACCGAGAGACTGCTGAATACACACACACACAGATTTCTGAATGCACACAGACTCCTGAATGCACACAGGCATTGCTGAATGCACACAGGCTGATTTATACACTTACACACTGACTGCTGAGTCCATAAACACACACTGCTGAGTCCATACACACAGAAATACAGATTGCTGAATCCATACACACACACAGACTGCTGAGTCCAAATACACACACAGACTGCTGAGTCCATATACACACACACACATACACAGACTGCTGAGTCCATACACACACACACAGACACACAAACACAGACAGCTGAGTCCATACACAAATACAGACTGCTGAGTCCATACACACACAGACACACTCAAAGACTGCTGAGTCCATACACACGTCCATAAACACACAGACTGCCGAGTCCATTCACACACACAGACTGCTGAGTCCATACACACACACAGACTGCTGAGTCCACGCACACACACAGACTGCTGAGTCCATACACACACACACAGACTGCTGAGTCCATGCGCACACACACACAGACTGCTGAGTCCATACACACACAGACACACACGCATAGACTGCTGAGTTCATACACACACACACACAGACTGCTGAGTTCAAACACACACACACAGACACACAGACGGCTGAGTCCACACGCACAGACTGCTGAGTCCATACACACATACACACAGACACACAGACTGCTGAGTCCATACACACACACTGCTGAGTCCATACACACAGACACACAGACACACAGACTGCTGAGTCCATACACACACACACACACACACCGCGCGCACAGACTGCTGAGTCCATACACACACACAGACTGCTGAGTTCATACACACACGAACTGCTGAATCCATACATACACACTCCCACACACAAACTGCACGAGTCCACACACGCACAGACTCCTGCAAGGTCCATACACACACACACACACACACACACACACACACAGACTGCTGAGTCCACACACACACACACACACAGACTGCTGAGTCCATACACACAGACACACAGACTGCTGAGTCCATACACAGACTGCTGAGTCCATACACACACACAGACTGCTGAGTCCATACACACACAGACACACACACACGCATAGACTGCCGAGTCCACACACACACACACACACACACACACAGACTGCTGAGTCCATACACACACACACAGACTGCTGAGTCCATACACACACACACAGACTGCTCAGTGAGGAGAGTAGTGGAACCTTTATTACTATAATATAGAAGATTACTGGAACCTTTATTCCTATAGTATAGGAGAGTAGCGGAACCTTTATTACTATATTACAGGAGAGTTGCGGAACCTTTATTCTTATATTATAGGAGAGTGCCAGAATTTTTATTAATATAATATAGGAGAGTACCAGAACCTTTATTCCTATAGTATAGGAGAGTAGCAGAACCTTTATTACTATAATATAGGAGAGTAGCGGAACCTTTATTCCTATAGTACAGGAGAGTACCGGAACCTTTATTCCTATAGTACAGGAGAGTAGCGGAACCTTTATTCCTATAGTATAGGAGAGTAGTGGAACCTTTATTCCTATAGTACAGGAGAGTAGCGGAACCTTTATTCCTATAGTATAGGAGAGTAGTGGAACCTTTATTCCTATAGTACAGGAGAGTAGCGGAACCTTTATTCCTATAGTATAGGAGAGTACCGGAACCTTTATTCCTATAGTACAGGAGAGTACCGGAACCTTTAATCCTATAGTACAGGAGAGTACCGGAACCTTTATTCCTATAGTACAGGAGAGTACCGGAACCTTTATTCCTATAGTATAGGAGAGTAGCGGAACCTTTATTCCTATAGTATAGGAGAGTAGTGGAACCTTTATTCCTATAGTACAGGAGAGTAGCGAAACCTTTATTCCTATAGTATAGGAGAGTACCGGAACCTTTATTCCTATAGTACAGGAGAGTACCGGAACCTTTATTCCTATATTATAGGAGAGCAGCGGAACCTTTATTCCTATAGTACAGGAGAGTACCGGAACCTTTATTCCTATAGTACAGGAGAGTACCAGAACCTTAATTCCTATAGTATAGGAGAGTACCGGAACCTTTATTCCTATAGTACAGGAGAGTACTGGAACCTTTATTCCTATAGTACAGGAGAGTACCAGAACCTTTATTCCTATAGTATAGGAGAGTAGCAGAACCTTTATTACTATAATATAGGAGAGTAGCGGAACCTTTATTCCTATAGTACAGGAGAGTACCGGAACCTTTATTCCTATAGTACAGGAGAGTAGCGGAACCTTTATTCCTATAGTATAGGAGAGTAGTGGAACCTTTATTCCTATAGTACAGGAGAGTAGCGGAACCTTTATTCCTATAGTATAGGAGAGTACCGGAACCTTTATTCCTATAGTACAGGAGAGTACCGGAACCTTTATTCCTATATTATAGGAGAGCAGCGGAACCTTTATTCCTATAGTACAGGAGAGTACCGGAACCTTTATTCCTATATTATAGGAGAGCAGCGGAACCTTTATTCCTATAGTACAGGAGAGTACCGGAACCTTTATTCCTATAGTACAGGAGAGTACCGGAACCTTAATTCCTATAGTATAGGAGAGTACCGGAACCTTAATTCTTATAGTATAGGAGAGTACCGGAACCTTTATTCCTATAGTACAGGAGAGTACTGGAACCTTTATTCCTATAGTACAGGAGAGTACTGGAATCTTTATTCCTATAGTACAGGAGAGTACCGGAACCTTTATTCCTATAGTATAGGAGAGTACCGGAACCTTAATTCCTATAGTATAGGAGAGTAGCTGAACCTTTATTCCTATAGTATAGGAGAGTACCGGAACCTTTATTCCTATAGTACAGGAGAGTACCGGAACCTTTATTCCTATAGTACAGGAGAGTACCGGTACCTTTATTCCTATAGTACAGGAGAGTACCGGAACCTTTATTGCTATAGTACAGGAGAGTACTGGAACCTTTATTCCTATAGTATAGGAGAGTACCGGTACCTTTATTCCTATAGTACAGGAGAGTACCGGAACCTTTATTACTATAGTATAGGAGAGTACCGGAACCTTTATTCCTATAGTACAGGAGAGTACCGGAACCTTTATTCCTATAGTATAGGAGAGTAGAGGAACCTTTATTCCTATAGTACAG